AGAGACTCCAACCTCCTCCTTAGGCCCTGGATGTAGTTCTCAAAGATGACATCCAGGTTCTTCCTGGGTCCTGAGGGCCCTTGCTGCTGCAGGAGCTCCCATTTGGTGGAGAGAACCTTGTTCTGCTGCTCCAGGAAGCGCACCTGAAAGCCCACAGAGGGTTGTGTGAGACCTTCACCTCGGGATCCTGTGAGGCATCAGACTCCTCAGATATCCTGCTTCTTCTGGAAGTCATGGGAATTACCCACTCGGGCTGACTCAAACTTTCAAGCTTCTAAAGTGCACGATGATGCACAGCATTACTGTTTTTGAGGCCATTCTGAAATTTTCAGTTATGGACAAACTCTTTGCCAATTGAAATAGTAACTTCCATTCTCTCCATGTCATGTTTGGACATTACTTTCATCTCAGGTGAAGTTAAGTCAAGAAAGCAATCACTGTCTCATTTACTGTTCATCTATTCTTCTCCAAAGATTCTGTCTTTCTTTAGTTTCTGTTTGGAATTAAATTTATCCAAGATCACTGGAAATGAATTTAACACTATTACATGTATAGGATCAGTTCATTGAAAAGAAAGTGACATCAAATAGAACTACAATAATGAGATCTCCTTAGGACATTTAAATACAATATGATGACTTTACCCTGAATCACTACAAATTAAACTGAAGAAATTACTGGGCAAGAGAATCTTCAGCATGTCCTGATGATGCTGTCTTTAATCCTCCATTAGCATGAAAACCCATTTCATTGTTCAGTATTACTTAATAAGACTTGAATGGCAACTTCTTACAAAGCCATCAGTCTTGCAGACTTTGTCAAGTAACATTAAACTTGACTATAGGGAATGTAATCCCTGTGCACGCTACAGGAATTTGTTCAATACACTCATCTCCACATAAGAGTGGTCCTAAGTTCTCACCTTGTCAATGAAGGAGGCAAACTGGTTGTTAAGAGTCTTGATCTGCTCCTTCTCCTGATTTTTCACTTGCTGGATCTGAGGATCGATCTCAACGTGGACCGGCCTCAGGAGGCTCGAGTCAACATGCACTGGTTGGATGCCTCCAGGGAAGCCAGGACCACCGAAGCCTCCCATTCCTCCTCCTATTCCTCCACCCATTGCTCCACCAAAGCCACCCATTCCTCCACCACCCATTCCTCCACCACCCATTCCTCCACCAAAGCCACCCATTCCTCCTCCTCCTATTCCTCCACCATAGCCACCGATTCCTCCTCCACCCATTCCTCTGCCACCTATTCCTCCACCATAGCCACCCATTCTGCCTGCACTGCCGTAACACCCGCCTGCAGCAAACCCTCTGCTGCCACCCATGTTATGGAGGCTCCTGCTGCTGAAGCCTCCACACTGTCCACCACCTCCTCCTCCTCTGGATGAGGAATACGAGCTGTAGCTGATCCTGCTTCTGCTGCCGCCACCTCCTCCAAAGCCACCACCAATGGCAGAGCAAGAGCTGTAGCCCCTTCTACTCCCTCCTCCAAAGCTTTTACAGGCAGACTGCCGAGACATGGCTGCTTCTTCCGAGCAGAGTCAAAGTCAGGAAGAGTAGGAAGACCAACGGAGCTGTGCTGCTGAGGACAGATGTGGAGAGAAGTGTGCACAGCCTTCTCTGTCTCCACGGCTTCGGGCATTCCCTTTTATCCGCTCCTGAAGCTCTTGGGCGTGAAGGTGGAAACCCGTTTATTATTTTCATCAGCATGGTGCTGTTGACAGATTCCCAGTGCAGCTTTACCTTATTTGGGCCTGCCTAGAAACACACCCTTGCAATATAGAAGTGAATAAAAGAACACTGAAATAGGTCTCAGTGACTAAGTGGACTCTCATAGGTTTATGACCTGCTGGAAACCATCTTGCACGGTAACGCACTTTTCTTCAGCCCCTCATTGGACTCCCAACCTTCTTTAATAGCTCCAAATAATTGCAGATATAGATCTTCCCAATCAAACCTTCATGGAAAGGAGAAGTTTTGATGAAATAACAGCTATAATATTGCTTTCACAATCGACACACACACCCTAAATCCCCTTTTTATAGGTTAAATTGCCTTCGGCATATTAGAAGTTTCCCAATCCTCAATGGGAATTTGTGACACCAAAGTTTGAAGAGACTCAGCATATTATTCTCCCGCTAGGAAGGTATGGCATCTTGGGGCGTGAGTGCTGGCACTTTGGATGGGAGTGTCTTCACTCTGCAGGTTAAATGCCCTCCAATTGAGTCTCCTCAAATCTGAGAACACGAGCCGGGAGCTTAGACAAGGATGGATCAGAGTGGAGGCACACCATGCCTTGTCCTGCTCCTTTCCTGTGCTCATCTGGCAGTGATGGAGAAGGACAACCCTGGGAGAAGGATGGGACACTTCACGGAGCTGATTGTGACCAAGGGCAGAGAGACAAGCACTACAAAAGTGGAAAAGCAGATTGATAATTCAAGATGGTGAGGGCTTCCTCCTGCTTTGGGGAATGATGCTGATCTCTTCTTTACTCGTTTTTTTTCCAAAGATGAGACAACTAATGAGGAAAAATGTTAAGGAATGGAAGTATTTCAACTCCTAAGGAATAGTGTATACTCTTATTTTCAAGTTTTTCTTGGGGTAAGGTAAGATGTGTACTCTATAGGACATCTTTGAAATAAAGAAGCTGATTTTTTGCATGTGAATGAAATTTACAACAATTATTCATAAAGTTCCAAATGAAGGATAGAAAATATAAAATAAAACTAATGTACAAGTATTTCGAAGAACCTAGAATACAGGCAGTGGATAAAAGGAGGCAGAGATCTGTAAATATCATTTGAAACATCTTCTGTGTGCATTGTCTGCCTGGATATTGGAAGGTAAATAACTATTTCAGTTAATGTATGAACTAGGTACTAACATTTACATTGCCTCTGATATACAGCCAGAGCAAGTAATCAAGAAATGACAAAGAAAATATACATTGAAAACCTTCAAAATATTTAAAACAACAATAAGCATGAACATAGGCAGTTCAAATGATCCGAGCATGAACTTTTACACTCGGAATCTCCATTAAGACTTGGGCAACAAAGTGCTGTTTGAAAATATCACAGGTATCAGCCTTCAGCCTTCAAAGACTTGGGAAAATCAGCCCACAGAATAACATAAATGATTCTGGATGTCACTGGGAGGGAGGATGCTGGGCACCAAACTCTTCATGCAACGGGACACGGGAGAGTCAGGAATGTCACACCCAAGGGACTCGAGCAATGTTGGCCAAGGGTTCTCCAGCTGTCTCTGCAGCCCGCCCAAGGCCACAGGCTGCAGCTGGAGAATAAGCACCATGCCAACACTGGGACAGGGACACTTTGCCTTCCAAGAGAATGGTCTT